CAACAGTTAGCATCACGGTTCACATTGCTCCAACGGATGATGAAGCGTCAATACATGTTCAATGTGTAGACTTTCTTTATCTAGATTTACTGCACATTTAAACAATTAAAGTTGCAATTAAACAACAATTAAAGGTGCATCAACAAAGAGCTTCCACACTGTTTGAAAAATCCGCTGACAGTAGGACTGGAGGTGCTGTCTCTTAGCTATACTGTTGTTTTTCCAGCTTCTCCACCCTGTGCTGTATGGTCTATAAATTAGCCCTACCTGCCACCTAGCCAAGGTTATAAGAAGGGTTTTTCAGCCACCAGTAGTCATGTCAAACAGCCATGGGGGCACTCTGGGCAGCTAAAATTCTGAACCAGCAACTGCCAGAGTGAAGAGGTGGCGTCTTTTGCACAGAGAGTGGGACCAATAAAGAGCAACAACCAGGGTTAACATGGGTTTGGCTGTTTGACATGGAGAAGGTTAAAAGTAGCCAAAGGACTCAGGCTGGATTCAGATGTGACGTTCTTCCTTCTGGATGTGTTAGCATCTAAAGCTAAAATGTTTGGTTTTGTAACATTAACGACCTAGCGCGGTCATGGTTCTACTTTTGTACTGAATTAATATTAATTTAATTTGGGAGTAATTTGAGCTTTGTGTGAAATCACTGCTTTGTGTCACATTAGCAGTAACCAGAGCGATCTACTGGACTGACACGTTTACTCGTTATTCAGCCAATGCTAGCTTTGGACTGGAGGCTGGATTTTCTAGGGTTCGTCTCAACCAGGAATTGTAGTTTACACTGCTGCTTTAGGAAACAGGACAGGAGATGCAAAGAGCAGGTCGGGGTGGTTTATGTTGTGAGTTTGTTTTCAGTCTCACTAGACCCTCTTGACTGAAAAGAAATTTGGTAGAGTAGCTTTGACATCGCCAAAATCAAAATCTGACCGCATCTTTAGCCGCTGCTGAACTCAATATCTCAGAAGCTTCTCTGACCAGCTGAAGCTGAGGAAAGTAAGAGTGAATATGTTGCTGTCTTTCAGGTGTTTGGCCTGTGTTACTGACCTGGTGGGTGGGGAGGTCAGAAGAACGGTCTGTGGGGGCGCAGCACCGTGAGCCATCACTGTTGCCACGGAAACAGGAAAGGGGCTCCCAGGATGTACTGTTGGTGTGGTGCTATGATGAAGGTTGGTCTGGACCACAGGCATAGGAGCGATCTGGATGATCTGTGAAAGGCGGAGAAACACAAACAAAAGGATTTTCTCACCAATACACTAAAAATAGAGTTAGTTCAGTTCAGTTAGTCAGGTTGGTTAGAGAACATGCACCTGACATTTAATCGTTAATTATTTTATGTATCCTGTGTAACAAAATTTTAAAAATCAAATGTGGTTTAATGGTCCTCTGAACAATTGCGCACGTTGTTAAAGAATCTGGTTCCATGTAAGTAAAAGGCAGCACAGCATTAATCACTTTTCAGCCTTCATTATACACAGTGGAGAGACAGCATGAAATGTGGGAGATGGAGATGCAGCAAAGGCCTCTTCTTTAAACGGCTTGATTCATCTGATAAACAGTCCCAAATCCAAAAGTGTAACATTTAGAGCAATATAAAAGAGAAAAGAGAAGAAATTTCTAAGATTTGAGATGCTTCAACCAGATAATGCTTTTATTTCTTCCTAATAAATAACTTAAATGCTAAATCTTTGAGCACTACACAGCTCAGTGTGTGAAGGAGGTTTTGGTCCAAATCAGATCTACCAGAATGAGACAAACACTGCAGCAGTAAAACACAATCATAAAGCAGATCTCCTTCTACTTTTTTCCCCTAGCGTGTGTCGTCTCCATCTAGTTTTAATGCTGCTGCTGTGAATCTGAGTACTTATATCATCTGTCAGCAAACACGGCTGCCTCTGTTGAAACTTGTGTCAGTTACCGTGTTGACATCCATACCTTGTTTCCTGTCGCAGGGCCGTTCTGCATAGGAAGAGGCGGAGCCACCAGGGAAATGGAAGGATGAGGAGGAGTAGACCCTGTTCTCACTGTTGTCATGGGAACCAACATCTTGCTCTGCAAGACCGGCGACTGGGTTTGAACTAATGAGTGAGAAGGAACGAGAGAAGTAAATCACTCAGCATGAGGAACAGATGAATGTTGCCAAAAGAGGGGAGGTGAAGAGAGCACAGGAGCGACGGGTGGGTGGAGACGCTGAGACGGAGAGTACATTTCAGCTACTGATATAAGTGAAATTCCTCACCAATAACAAGGTGGAACAATGTTCTGCTGCTTCTGACTCTTATGAACAGAGAGTGATTAAGGCACGGGTGGGTGGCGGGTGCTCATACTCATGTCAGTAGTGTTTCTGCTGTCATTTATCTCCTGTTTATGCAAGCCAATCAAATCTATTTTCAGTGTTTTCCGTGGAGATGACTAACACCAAATAAGGGAAGTACAGAAAAAAATATATAAGAAGGACATTCTTTTCCAGTTTTCAGTGGACCTGTGAAAACACTCAGAAATGAGCTCTTTCTTGTCAGCCAGTTGTTGTCTCACCTCTGGTCCCGGGACTGACTCGGATTCCTGCCCCTGAGTGCGTGCCATTGGCCACGGCGGCACTGGGCAGAGACAGGATTTGCTGGTGGGTGAACTGAGGGGAGGAAGGACTCTCGGTCGGCAGGATGTACTGGACCTGCGCTAGCGGCTTGGAGCCGGCGGGAGGTGTGAGAGAGGAGGTTGCTGCAGTGGGGTGAAGCTGGGGCTGTAGGATAGGTAGGGGGGTTTGTGCGTGCAGTTGTGGTGGTTGAGGGGTGAGGTGCTGCACTGGCTGGGCAGCAGGGAAGGACCCTCCCAGAACTAGGCTAGTGACCAGGCTGCTGCCCCCCACAGGGGTTACACTGAGCGGACCAGGGGAGGAGGATGAGGAGAGGTACCCACCCCCTGCAGCGATTGGCAGCTCCTGAGATCCACCTGCTCCAATCAGAAGAGTGGCTTTCTTGTCCTGGGGCAAAGGACTGAGGGTGATGGCTCCTTCCACAGGCTTGCTGGCGAAGGGAATGGGCGTGCTGGCGATGGGCCGTACCACATTGGTCACCATGGTGGGAGCCATGCGAACGGCACCGAAGACCTGGGTCAGACCCTGCTGGGCCAAAGCGAGGGGAGCCAGGGTGCTGGATGCCGAGTCTGTGATGGACAGAGAGGAGACACACTGCCCGCCTCCACAGTCTCCTTCCCCTCCACCTGTTTCTTCTCGCTTAGGTCCTCCATTGCTTCCTTCCTCTGCTCCATCTATGCCTCTCTTTGTCTTTCTTTCAAACCTGTCTTCAGCACCTCCTCCTCCTCCTCCATTCCTTTTAGCTGGGGTGGAGTCAGAGTGAGAATTGGAGGGAGAGGAGGAGGGAAGAGAGGAGAGAGCCACTGGCTGGAAGCCATGCTGCAGGGAAGAGATAGAGAGATGGAGAGATCAAAGCCAGGAGAATTACTGTGTAAAGTTGTTCTATTTCTCAACATACAGTAAAACTCTGGAAATCTGTACATTTTAATTTTGGATGCTGCTATGGTGCCCCACATGCAGAATAGCACTAGTAAGACTAAAGTGAAGCTCTAGATGTCTCTACACTGTAAAACAAGCTACATCAGTATCTGTTTCATGTGACCAAGGAAGATACAAATTCAATTTCGCTGTCTCTATTCACAGCATGCGACAGAAAATGACCTTTAACACTGCACTTTTGTTATGTAGTTCACCAGAAACATTGATCTGTGTGATATGCCTGAATTACATCCTTTCCATTAGCAATTCTTTTATATATAGGCTGCACAAAATAGAGGAAAGAGAGGAGCACAGCTGTCCATTGAAATTCCACAGATGCTGCTAAAACCCATCTTAAACAAATAATAATTCAATGTATTTTGATCACCTACCTGTCCATCAGGTTCATCTTCATCACTGTCTGTCACTCTCTCTTTACATTTGAGGTCAATGGAGCCTTCAGGACATGAATCTTCTGAGGACAGGACATGCAGTATATATCAGAAGGTAGTGTTTTAAATACACATTTTAAAAATACTCTAATGAATTTCTTTTCAGTCTAGGAGTGTCTAGTGAGACTCAACATACACCGGCGCCATAAGCCGCTCCTAACGCTCACTGGCCCTCCCATTGTGTCCTGTTTCCTAGCAACAACATAATCTATGGAGAGACTGTACAAAATGCAGCCTCCAGTCTGAAGCTAGCATTAGCTAAGTAACAGTACTGTCAGTCCAGTAGAACGCTCTGGTTACTGCTAATGTGACACAAAGCATTAATGTTACACAAAGCTTGAATTATTCCCAAATTAAATCATATTAATTCAATACAAAGGTAAAACCGTGACCATACTAGGTTGCTAATGCTACCAAAACAAACACGTTAGCTTTAGATGCTAACACATCCAGAAGGAAGAACGCCACATGTGAATCAAATCTGAGTCCTATGGCTGCTTTTGACCCTCTCCATGTCAGTAGCCAAACTGATGTTAACTCTGGTTTTGGCCCTTTCTTTGTCCCACTCTCTGTGCAAAAGAACGACACCTCTTCAGTCTGGCAGCCAGTGTTTCAGACTATTAGCTGCAGAGTGCTCCTCCTTGCCTGGCTGTTTGAAACGACTACTTGTGTTTTGAAAACCTTCTTGCTAGGTGGCAGCCAGGGCTATTTTACAGACTGCATTTTGACAACGCAGGGTAGAGAAACTGGAATAACAACAGAACATGCTCAATCAGAGATGACCAAGTAGATCCACATGGTGATGGTTTCTAGAAAAACTGAAACTACCAGCACATAGCCAGTTACTGTATGTGCTGCTGTTGCATGTGCTACTACTAACAGTTAGCCATGTTGGCCTTGGGTTTTGCTGGTGCTACTGTTCTGTTCTGTTCAGTATCCTAAAGACACGCTGGCTGTTGTGGGAACTGAAACAGCCACTCCTTTGTTATGAAACAGTTCCTCTAACCACTAGACCTCTCTGCTGATCAAACTCACCCATTACATCATCATCCCCTTCTTCCTCACAGATGACCATACGCTCTTCATCACTGGTCACATCCTCTCCAGCCCCACCCTGGCAAATGGACTGTGGTGGGGCCCTGTTCCGAAACAAGCTCGCCCTGTCCTCCTGGCACAGAAAGAGGACAGGATTTTCACTCTTTTACAGTTGTAGAAATTTTCCAAAATATATCTGGGTAGTTTTTGTTTTGGTGGTAGAATACTGATTATAAACTAAAAAGAAAAGCCTTAAGTACTTAAGAACAATATATCACAGAGAAGTAATGTGGCTATCATCAAAGCATGCACACGTACGCAGCTTTGCCACCAGCATTAAATGAATGCCTTCAAACAAAAGCGCTCACACGCCGGCCCACTCCTCTGTGATTAGGAGCGAAGCTGCAAACGCCACAGTCTCATACCTTCAAAGGCACTAAAAAGTAGAAAGTGAAACCTTTGAAGTTGGAGGCTGCACTCCCCCCTGAGCATTCCGTGGGTTTTCAGCAGCAACAACTCACAAAGAACCGAGCAAGTCCATCTGAACTGTTTTCGAACAGCGTGCCTTCAGTTGTACAGTTCAACCAAAACCCTCTGTAGTGTGAAGAACGCGTCTGCTGTCTGTGAATACACGCTTGTATGTAGTTGTGTAGGCGCATACATACACACACACACAGGCACTGACCCTGTTTTTTTATTTTTTTTTTTAAGAATTACTTCAGTGTATTGATTTTCTTCATTTATTGTCTGCATTTCTCTTGGATGCCCTTAGCTGTAAGAAACTTTGCTGTTAAAACCACTCAACTTGAATGGACGCACATAATCTTAACTCTCTTTACCTGATCTGACACAGCGATCCTGATCTAAACGCACTCAGAAGAAACATGTAACAGATTCCTATGGCTGGTTTTCTGACATTTTGTGGAGCTAGTGATCTGGAACAGTTTGCTTCACACCTCCCAAGTCAGGTCTGCCTTTGAGCTACAGTTTAACAACATCATACCTTCTCCAGGTCTCTCTCCCTTTCCCTCTGCTCCAGGGTGTGCACGGCACTCTGGGAAAAGGCTCGGGGACGGGGATGCTGCCCCGCAAACAGCCCCCCTCGATGCTCTGATCCCCCTGGCCAGCCTGAGCCTCCTCCTTTCCCCTCCAGCACCTGGGACTCTGAAATGGGATCTAGAGAAAAGAGGAGAAAGACTCATGGAGTGGATCAATAAAACTTTATAAAGTTGACACTCTAGGGATTTGAGTGTATTGTTGCTGCTATTACACATTTTTAGTCACTATGTAGGAACATCAGCACAGTGCCTCCCATGTGTAATAAAAATTAGTGTGATATATTGATAATTATGGTGTATTTTGTCAGAATCACATCATTATATGACTAAATGCATCTCAAATCACTGTGAGTTAAGAAACTGAACTGCCAACACATACCTACGCTCTCTGACATGCTCCTCTCCCGCGGCTCCTTTGGGGTCCCGCGGCCCTCGGACAGCGACTTCCTGCGGTCCTTGTTGCACCACTTCCAGTCTGGGTGGGCTCTGAAGTGGGCCTCCTTCACCTGGAGGAAGAGGAGGACCATTTTAAGTTTATGTAGTTCAGCTGTGGTTCAGTACTTATGACTACCCAGTGTTGTTATCGCCTATCTCCAGACACCCTCCACCTGATGTTGCTTAGTCTCTTAATTGCATCAACTCCTGATCAACAAAAGGACAAATCTGTAAATGAATGGATATCTACTACAAGAAATGGCAAGCCTTTATACAAAGAACCGGGAAACTGCACATTTATTTACTGTTATGGTTTGTGGACTTGCCTCCTGTTTAGTGATTTTATTTTGGTTAGATTTCCTGTCTCGTTTCACCTCAACTGCCCCAGCTTTACCCCAGTTCACAATTTCTGTTCATTGCTTCCACCTGCTGCTCGTTGCCTCACAGTCTCCTGTCTATATATCCTCCTCCCTTCCCCTAGTCTGGTTGCTGGCTTATCTATTCTCCATGCCTTGTTGCCCCCATCATCCGTCTCCCTGAGTACCATACCTTGCTTGTCTGCTTTGTAAGTTTTTTGTATAAGTTGCTTTGGTTACTTTTGGCCTGTTTTGAGTTTTTCCTGTCAGCAAGATTCTAGGTAGTTCTCTGGTTTCGTTTTAGTTATTTAAAGTTTGTTTCATGCATCTCCCTGACCGTTCTGTTTAGATATTAGTTTTGTACCTGTATTGTGAAGTCCTGTCGGGTTGAGCATCCGTTTACCCCTTTGTTCCTCTTCATTTATATTAAACCGAATAAACGCTAGACTCTAGAACGAGTCTGCATTCTGGGTCCTTCCTTGCCCGAAATATAACATTTACATAAAAAAATGCAAAGCTAGTTTCATCAAACTGTTCTCTACAATGAAGTCAACTGTGCTGTTTAACTCTATTAAAGGAGTGTGCATGTACCTGAAAGGCCAGATCGTGGTACTGCTGTTTCTCGCTGGGCCCCAGTGCGTACCACCACTCCCCCAGGATCTTGCTGACGGTCCGGTTGTCCTGGTTAGGATGTCGCTGGTGCACCAGGGCCCGGTGGCGTTTGCTGAAGATCATAAATGCATTCATGGGACGGCGGATGTGGTCCTTCTCCCTCTGGTCAGGTTATGAGACATTTAGGGTAAACTGTTAGTGACACTTGACAAGCATTGACTCTCCTGTTTTTGGGTATCACTTTCTTTGTTTTCACACTTATTGTCTGGCTGTCTGTGTGGTGCACTGACCTTCCTGTCTCCATCCCTGGGCAGGGCACTGAGGGACTGTGTGCGTCTCTTGATGTGGCTGGTGGAGGGCGCTGGATCACTGGCCACACCTGGGGAGAACCTGTGTTTGTAAGAACATGGAGGAAGAGTCAAACTGAGTGTGTGAGAGATGGGAAATGAAGGGAGCTCCCTCTCGCTGATGGGTTTTAAGGACAAAAGTTAAATGTTTAGAGGGTAATTTGAATTCCACTGGTCCTCATTAAACAGTGTAAAAAAGTGTGGGGTCTACACTTTATCTCACTTAAATGTTTTTAGTGCATTTCATAGCTTTATGGTTTGAGACTATTCTAAGAATTTCCTGAAGAATAGCCACTTTTTCAATGTAACATTTATACTGTAACCACAAACATCTGCTCTTTCTTTTATTATTCATACATTTGAAGTGCTTTATTTGTTGAACCATTAACTATCATCATATAACTGAGTATTCAATTAGTACCACAAACCGCCATTTCTACTGCTGTTAATTTGCACTCTTCTAGTCACTGGACTGTTTCCAGGAAAAAGCAACCAGACAGTAAATAGAAGAGAGCAAATAAAAATGGTGTCACAAACTGGGTGAAGTCTGAATTACTCGTGTGCTGCAGCAGTTGGAGAAACAGTTTGTATAAAGAATACTATTTCAAAACTAATACAGTTTATATTGACACTTGCAGAGAGTCAAAAAGAAAACATGAACAGTCAAGACAGAGCACCTCCCCGGTGCTAATAAGCCAATCAGCAATTTAAAAATGTGGATTTTGTGCAGTTATCCCAGACTTTCTGAACGCTAGCAATAGAGGAAAACAAATTGGCTAAGGTTAAATGAAGCGAAGAGACACACGGTGTCCATGACAGTAGAAATTAAATTGTGGGGAAACAAAATCAGAGCAATCATAAGATGTCGGGGTAACTGGTGTTATATGAGAGTTTGATTAGGTAAAGTCAGATGTGCTATTTGTGTTCATGTTGATAGGCAGATGTTTGAATGTGTGTGTATGTGGTGGGGTTTTTGGTTTGTCAGTTGTGTGGATATATACTAGTGGTCAAACGTTTTTGAACATCCTCAGCTTTCCACATGTAAGAGGTTCATGTCCTTTGATTAACTGTAAATGGCACAAAGCGAAGACACTGCCAGAGGTGAAAAAGTCACCAAAGGCTAAAACTGGAAGTGTCACATAAAACAGGCCTTTTTCAAGGATCAAATCACAGGTTGACTTCAGTCTTTTCTGCAGCAGTGGAAGCAAACTGAAGTCTTGATGCAAACAGTTCCTATAGGTGTCCCAACTTTTGTTGACTTAAATAACAAATACTAACAAAGTCAGACATTTTCAGGGTTTCAAAAGAGAACACCTCCAGGCTGTGTAGAAAAACAAGATGTTCGACTTCATGTGATGTACTGGCAGTACGGTGTCCAAAAGAGTGAAAGCAAAGCAGCCTACAAGTGGGAACTTCTGCAACAATGCTAAAACATCTGGCATAGTGATTAATTAAGAGTGGCATAAAAATCTGAGAATGGTTACTTAATATATACTGTATCTGCTAGCAGGTGTACAGTGGGAGTATTTCTGTACAACCAAGCTACAAAATGGAGCCCAAAGCATGTTAAATCTTTGGGCTTTTTATTAATGCCATTAGTCTTTTCACTGAGATGTAGGCAGATAACAGGTGTAACCACTGCAAGACTGCTGAAGCATTTCTTTTGGCAATGCCGGCCTTTTGTGAGCACAGTGACCCTGAAACACTGAAAACCGCACCAGCAGCCAGACAGCCACATAGCCTGTCTGAGTCACTCTGAAAGAGCAGCGACGCAGCCTGAACAAGCACAGTCTGTACAGCCATACACACACTCGATGCAGCTGGTAGAAAAGTTGTTTGTTGCTGTTTGTTTCTTTTGAATTTTGCTGGCAGAGGCAGATTTCAGCACACCTGTTCCTGGTGTAGTGTCTGTGAGTGTTTTAAAGCTGGTGAATCCAAATGCAGCACCAAACTGTGTCTAACGTAATGTACAGTTACTATCTGCTTCCTACTGAGTCATAACCAGAGTAGCAGGAAGGAAACAAACATCATGTATGATGCGTTTGCTCAAAATGAATTTACACAATTTCAAAAGCAGCACTGAGACAACTTTTGAAACTTTTTAAAAGGACAGACAATTTGCTTAGCAACATGGTTTTTTTGGGGGGGGGTCTCCATATACTATAATACAATACAGCTACACACATTTTTTAAATGAATACATATAATAAGAGTAATTTTGAAGACTCAGCAAAGAGGCCAAAAAATTAGCAAGTAGTTAACCAAGGAAAACTAAGGGATCAGGAATATACTGCTCGTTGCTTAATGATCATTTACATAAGGCTATAGATAAAACAGTAATGAACTGGTATCCATCTTCAACAGGTCAGTGAGTTTTTGTGTGATTACTAGAAAGATAACAACGAGCGCACTTGCATGTCAACACGACCTAAACTGGATTAACAGTCGTCTGACTGCAGGACTGGCCTCAATCCACAATGTGGTCAATGTGCCACAGCGCTACTCTACACCTGAAATTAAATCAATACTTTTCTTTCTTGTGCAATTCCCTGCTCTTCTCTTGATTCCATTTTCCATCTGTAACCATTGCTGGAGTTTGGCCACAGCACAAAATGCACCACTGAGCACTGTGGTATTCTGCAATGATCAAAAACAATGTGCAGAAAACATCTCACGATCCAGAATATCCAGTCAAATCCTAAATTAAGAGCAGGAGGACAAAAATCTGCTCAAAAAATGAGGAATACTCTGTTACTTACGGGTCATCTGTATCACTTTCTGTCTCGCTGTCAGCCCCGCCCCTGTCTGTAGGGGGATTGTCATGGGTCGGGGCAGGGCGTGACGGCGATCCCCTCTCTAGGTCTGGGGTGCCGCTCCGTCCATCACTCACCAGGGCGACACCACAACGAGGCTCTGAAAAATATAAGTCATTTATTTGCCAGATAGTGAACAGCTTGATAAACGCCAAGTGCCATATATGTAAAGCAGGGCTACGCTGCACGCAGCTTGTTGATGGGAGGCTCTGTTCTGGCCAGCTGACTGTGGGAGGTGTGAGAAGCTACATCTGTGTTATAATCTGCTGCACTAGTAGGAAAGAATACTTCATGTTAAAGATGAATGTACTTTACATATAAAGGAAATGGTCTTTCAAGTGTTTAGTGAGTAGACCTGTACATTGTCATTAAATCTAGCTATTACAAGACTTAGCTGAAACTGTTTCAAGGTGTCTTGTCGGGGTTCTGTTTGTTTTTTTAATCTGTTTTGATCTTGAGACCTGGCAGTTTATCAATACTGTGGCTGCAGCCCTACAACAACAATAACAATAAAGAAAATTTGACTTAAATCTCAAAATTGGGCCTCATGAAGCGCTGTGGAAGAAACTGCAAGTCTCAAATTAGCTTCTAGATTACTAACTGTTCCCACCAGTCAAAATGGGTCTATGAATTTATTTTTAGCAGTCCAGTTAAAAAAACAGTGTTACCAACAATGTTACTGGAACTATAATGTGTGAACACCAACTGTTCTGATTTGAAATTCAATCGCAACTGTTTTGGGAAACACTGACTTGGCTGCTGATTAGTCCAACCAACATTTGCACTTGGGTGTTTTGGCAGTTGCTATTTGAGAGACGTGTACTATTTCCTGTTGGATGTGGGAAACACTTTTATACATCTGTCTCTCTCTCCTTGGTACAAGCAATGGGGTCATTTGTTACCTTTATTCTGATTGACAAGCTGCTGGCCGTCAGCAGGCTGGGCGGCAGCTCCTGATTGGCTGGCCTCCAGGAAAGGGACGAGTGAATGCCAAGGGAACACTGGCACCGACCGAGGCTCCACATTGGTCCAAACTGGGGGAACACAAAGGGAGAGTGAGGAGAAAGAGGGAGAGAAAAAGTTCAAATGCCATCATGTTTCTCCATCTCAGTGCCATGGACTGTAGACAGAAGGGAGCACTCTGCCCTCTGGCACCGTGAGATGTGCTCATCAGCCAGCAATGAGTTAGAGTGCTACTAAAAAGCTACACTTTCACAGAAACTGACAGATTGAAGACCGTGAACGCAGCTGGTTATTCAGTCACCTGCTCTACCCCCCTCGCCAACACACACTCAGAGACTCTCCCTCAGGTAATGAGAGCTGAGGGGTCATGCGGTGTGTGGAGTGACGAACGAACCTGTTACTGTATCCACAGAGATTCCAGACCTCAGAGCACTTGCTGTCTAGACTACTGCTGAGCTTCAGACTCTGAACTGAACTATCTTTGGAGTGAGAACCATTTCAAGCTGAGAAAAACCTCAGATCACGCATGACATTTATAAACAGATCTCTATTACTACTGCTTAGGGAGCTGTGGGATAGTTGGAAACAATATCATAACATTAATATAACTAAGTATTTTTCCTGCTACACCTATGCCCATATCACAGTATATACGCAACATCACATAGAGGAAAACTTCTTGAATGATCGCCATGAAACTCTGTACAGACATTCGTGTTTGCCAGAGGATGATGCCTACTGACTCTGGTGAGCTACAGAAACCTTTTAATAGCTCAGTGGGTTTCCTGAAAACTGCACTGTCACCAAGCTGACCTGAAAAGTTGACATTCTAAAGATACATTGGGTGAATCCCACTTCCCTTAACTGCATTCACATTTCCCTCTCTTGCATCTTTTCCTCGTCTCTTAGACCCTCCCGCATAAGATGTAAGTAAAAAATGCGAGGAATGAAGAACCGAGGAAACACGCTCGTTCCTCCGGTCTTTCATCTGAGCCAGTCAACTGGTTTCTGCGTTTCCTCAAGTCCTCTCTCCTTGCATGTTTTCTTCGTATCTTACGTGGACGGGACTAAGACACAAGGAGAAGACGGGTGCTTATAAGAGACTTGGGATATACCCATGGCATTTTAAAATTTCCTTAGAATCAATAAATGGGAAAACAAACATCACAATATCTTCATGTCATCACAAAAGAACGACACCGAAAGCTCTACTACTGCTACTGACACCACTACTACTGGTTATACTAATACTACAACTACTAGTATTACTACAATAATTTCATCTAACACCGCAAGTGGCACAACAAGCACAGCTATTACTGCTGATGCACTTTCAGTAGGGAAGTACTTAGTGATTTTACGGTACTTCAGCAGCAGTTTATTCTGTTTCTGTTTATATAATAAAAATGTTGAACTTCAATAAACAGAGTTTTAATTGGTTCCTCCCTGGCTGCGGTGTTCCACATATAGGCCTGGCCTGGTGAAATAAACCGGCTGTGAGCTCTGCTGCACCACTGAAACGACGACCTGTGTGTAGCTAACCATTCGCTGGCTAAGGTTCATCTAAAGCGAAGATCCAGATACTGCTGAGCTGGATGAGGGAACTGTAAACACACTGTACAATAGGTGCTGCTGGTTGTTACACAGACTGCTGAATAAGTTTTCTTTTAAATGCTGGTTCAGGCACCACAAGGCCCATCTCACCACACGCTAACCTTTGCACTCCATGCTTCTCACTGGCAGTTTGTGCTGTTGTGTGCATGAGGAACTTCAGCTGAGGAAGCGAGCCTTATTCAAATGTTTTACACACCAAAGGCTGCGCTCTTAAGACGCTCAAATCCACAAATAGTACAATTACATATTTCAATGTATAACATCTGAAATGATCTTTTTGCCTTCATTTTACCGGCGCAGTAGATACTGATATTAATATTTGTGGGTTTAAATGTTTTGACAATAGTGCTTCTATAAACAAACAATAACAGAGAATTTAGATTTTTTTTAAACTACACTGAGAAGCACATTTTATAGTGTAGAAATATACCTATCAATATTCAGAAATATCCACAAAACACTAATATCGGCCAAGTTATCAGTCTAGTTTTAAATAGCAGTGTGGATGACAGCCCACTTTACGTACTGAACCCAGGTGCTTTGTTTAACAGTCTCCATTCTCCTGAAACCTACTGTGAATGTCACCACGAGGCTACACCAAGCTATCAGAGACAAAACCTGTGGACACGTAGTACTCGGTTACAGCAGATTTAAGCCAAATTCAACATTTCTCAGGCCTTTCAGTGCTCTCTTGAGTTCATAATGAAAAAGAAACTATGCTGGCAGAAACAGACAGTTTCCAGTTGATCGTATCTGATGACAGATATGGGACAAATCTGCATGATCAGTGCAACAGGAAATGTTTACAGGGTCAAACTAATTTATCCCTAGTGTGTACTATTGTTAACAGTGAGGATACATGAGTCAGAATGTGACCCAATGAAAGAGCAAAATCAACACTCTTCACTGTTTCCATCCACAGTTGTGGGTGGAAACAAACCACCATTTGGTTCTACCTAGATTTTCAGCTCAGCCTTAATCAAGTGTAAGGACCAAAATGAAAACGAAATCATTAAAACTATACTGCAGGCAACCTTTTAGCACTAGCAGGTGTTGTCTGTGCATGGAAACCCTGACATACCGTCTTACTGCTTTGTGTCACAGAGCTGCAGTGAGCCAGTCCATTGTCCATGCTCTAGAATGCACTGAACATAGGCACAGTAATTAGTTTGATAATCTGACATGCACCATCCTGCCCCTGTAATTCTCCACAAGAGGACCAAATATGTACTAATCCATCACTTACAATAAACACACTATTTACTCCTGTTTGAATGATGATTGCTAAAAGCTACAGTGCTCGGCTGTTAGGAAATTACTGAACACTTTTTAAAAAAATGACTCTTCAGTGATGACAAATTTTTACCAATACACTCCAGGCTACATGCCAAAGACTAGTGACGTCAGAAGGAGAGAAGGATTCTTTAAGGCACTAAATAATCTGACTTGAGATTCCTCAAACTTTTAAAGGACCTGCTGACACCCTGAAGAGGCGAGGCATGAATATTCCAGTAAAGCACCGACAGTGGTCGAGTTGTAAAAAATATCAGGGAGAAAAACACCGCTGAGACACCCATTAATCTCTGCTGGTTTACTTGAAGTGCTGACAGTCTAGCACAAGGCAGCAGTGATAAAGAAACACACCTGCCAACAGCTGTCTTCTTGTTTTAAGGTGGGAAAATGATCCTACTCTGTAGTGAAGATATCCACCTGTCCTATGACTACACATTACCACATACCACTGGAGAATCGGCCAAATAACTCCTCCTGTGGATGTAAAAGCATTACAAGAGTACAAGATGCTACATCAGAGCTCTTCTTCGCTGAAAGTGGCAGACACACTCATAGAAAGCAGTAATGAAACTTGTGATGCTAATGCAGCTGCACTTGAGCTGGGCTATATTTAGGAGAGATCTCAGCTGTGAGGCCTGCACTGCCTTCTGCCTGTGTTTGTTTCTGGGCCCGCTGTGGCTCTAGGTGTTTTTAAAAATGTATGGCGGAGGAAACGTTATGCTACAGAGGCAGGTGGCTGTTAGCAGCAGCGCCAGGGATGTGAGAAGGAGGGAGAAATGAAAGCGCGCTCCAGTAATCAGCTCAGGACTCAACATTTTACTGTGCTAATTCTACCAGCGGACACCGTGTATCCATGACAACACGCCAGCAATACGATTACTCCTTTTTCTGCTGAGAGCCATGAAACACATTCACATCACACTGGACCTGCCCTTGATACCTTGTCTGAGGTTACGGATTGTCTGGAACACAAAGATGAGTGTGTGTGTGCGTGTGTGTGGTGGAGGAGGAGCTGTCAATGTCCTCGTTGCTCCCTGTACTGCTGCTCTCAGTCTTGCATGTCTAGACATGTCAATATTCGCGTGCTTTTAAACTTTCAGTGAAACACCCTTTATCTCTGTTTCACAGACGCGTGCATATAAAAAGGGTGACGCCCCCTGCACTCGCGCACACTGACACTACACACACTGAGTCACAAATTACACAGTGAGCAGCAGGTCTGGGTGGCTGCCTGTGCAACTGCTATATCAAAGCTTTTCTGATCTTCACACCTCAGAAAAACATGGTTTCACTCTATTATCACCTTGATCCTTTGAAACAACATCAAGCTTATGAAATATTAAAAATATAAGTAAGAACTCACAGATTTTAATTTCAAATATTTTAGAACAAATCTTCTGAAGCCAGAATCAGTTTCTTGAATGTGCACATCAGCTGAAAGATGCACTGTATGTTTATTATCATCTGTAAGTCTTGTGTATATAGGATCCTGCTCTACCAACTCTCAACATGAGCTATGAAACTGATCGACCTATAAATTGCCGATATCTCTCCGTGATAACACTAATTACAGCACATTTATCATACTTTCAGTTTTCAGATTTAAAAAGTGTTGCATCATAACTATATAAAATGAGAAATGATGCACTTTAAATGGAAACCATTTTTTGTATTCATATATTCAAAGTAACATTTCTGTGTTTGGCCATACTGTAATACTGCAAGGTTGGCATGGAAACAAGCATAGAGTATATGATGAACCCACCTCTTTTTCTCAGTGGCCAGTTTTCTTATAACCAGTGCACACAAAGCTCACAAAATATTTTCACAACAGGTTTTTCCCCAGATACATACTTTAAAAGTGAGTACACAAAAATCCTTTTTCACCACCCCCCAAAACAACGCTTTGCTTCTTCTGACGGTTTCAGAACGGCGTGTGTTTTAGTAAGCTGGTATGATTTATGAAGTTAATTAAAACTAAACATACTGTACATCCCCACAACACTGCAATTTACATGATGGACCACAAATGGGCCAAAGCTCAGGTCAAAAACACCTGAATGCTCATAAAAAGCCAACATCTCCATCAACTGCATTTTTATTTACATGTGCTTTTACATTTCTGTTACCAGGATAATGTGCATGAACACAATTATCTACCCCCCACTGTGACAGATTTTTTTTTGGGCCTCTACAATTGTGTACAGTTTGCTACTGCCAAAAAAGAATTTCTTAAAAAACAACCGAGTGTGAACTCCAAAACAGCAAAATTCTCTCATATTCTTACATGTTTACTTTGTCTACTGTGGTCTATTATAATTTAAACTAGAACAAATCTTGTATTATTCTGGAGTATACCACATACATATAAACAATAAAAATGTACCTAAAAAGGTCAAAATGCAGATCTAGCTAGCAAATTTTGTTCTTTGAACACGGGTGCTTTCTTACACCGCAAGCAAACAATAGTAATTTGTACATGAGTCATAACCATAGTGCTCTAATGTCATTCCTGTAACCGAAGAGTATTAACAGAATCGAGAAGTACTATAGCGTACATAAGACACAGCCTACTCTTCCTATTTTATAGCATACTGTGGCTCAGCAGACTTTGTATATGACCAGGACAAAGGTCAAGGCCCCAGGGCCACGAAGGTCTCAAATTCCCTATCCCCATCCTTCCTTACCGGTGCCTGGCCGCCCCATGATGATCTGCTTGCGTGGAGCAGGGTGAGGTGACTCCGCTGGTAGTATGAGTGGCAGCAGGGCGGTGGGTGTAGGGTGACAGGCTACCGGCTGGGGCAGTGCTCCCCCAGAGGTGTTCTGGTGTCCCTCAGGGTTCCGCTCCCTCTCCCTGCCTCCAGACCCAGAGGAGGACAGGACAGAGGCTGATGAAGTGGACATGGACCCAGGGGTAGAGGGGCTGGACAGGGCAGTGAGGCCTGCTGTGGCTGGAGTCAGGGACTGGGAGGTGACATAAAAAATGTACTCATAACCATAACAGAGCAGATGTATATTCTCTTTCAAAATAATGTTCAAATGAATATTTAATATTTGAGAATCAAATTAGATAGCAGCTACTCAGTCTACTCCTACAGCCTAATCCACTTCATCCATGATCACTAACCCACAGCTGGGTGATATGATGACATGCTTTATACCATGAGCAAGTAAAGATACTGTTTCCTGTACCACTGATATACTAAGGTAGCTATGATCTGATCAGACAATGTAACATTACATATACTGTGATTAGATTTAATTCACATTGTCCATCACTATACTGTACATGAACCTTTATCACAAATCAAGGGGACCTTCCTTACTGAGCTGGAGGTGACCAGGACAAGTGTGGATGTGGGGTTGCGCAGGAGAACTGCACCATTGGTGGTGGCCCCATTGATGGGGACGGGAGCCTGCAGACCTGGGGGAGCGGCGTGTTGGGGCTGGCTGTGCTCCCTGGACCTGCTTCTGTCTCTCTTTCCTAATGGACCATCGGAGAACTTGGCCAGAGGGACATCCGGGTTACGGACAATGACTGGGGAATCACGAAGGGGCACAATGCAGCGTGGTGAGGGTTCTTGGGGAAGTGGGGAAGGAGGTGTGGGAGAGACCAGCATGGGTGGCGGTGTGGAGGCAGCAGAGGATGGTGGCCTGCTGGTGGCACTACGGGACCGGGGGAAGGAGAGAGAGGATGGGGTTGTCGGCTGACTCTGGGGGGAAAGGACTCTGAAGGCAGCAGGGCTGTGGCCTAGGGCTGGCTCTCCTACCACCCCTCCACCTATGCTCACCAGCTGCTGCTGCTCAGGTTTGCTCTGGTAGTCCTGGGCTGTAGGCAATGGGGGGGGTGGGTGGCTGTCGAGCTTCCTCTTGCTGGGACTCATGGGAACTGTAAAAGTGAGATTGGTCTGAAAAGTGGGCACAATTCCTGGCAGGTGGCGCTCACGCTCAGCACCTGGTGTGCCTATCTTAGTGCCACTAAGCTGGCGATGGCGGTGTGGAGCAGTGATGGGGCTGAAATTGGCAGGGCGGAAGCCAAATAGTGGTGAAGGTGAAGGCGATGGGGTAGGGGAGAAGGGCGACTGGTTGGAGATAGGGGAATATGAAGGTGTGCCTGAGCGGGAGCCCCCCAGGGAGACCAGCATTGTCGCTGCCTCACACTCATCAAAGTCAAATCGAGAGAGGTCCTGGGGGAGCAGAGAGGGAAGGACTAGGCGGGGACGGGAGTCTCCTCCGCGGCTGCTGGTCTCGCTGCTCTCCCGTGACGTCTCATCCCAGTCAAAATCTGAGCTGGCCCTCCCACCAGCTAATCGAAGGTCAGACGGCGTTAGGGTCCCTGTGCTGCTGGCTCCACCCCGATCCCGGCCTCCTCCACTGGCTTCCATCTCTTTGGTCCTCATTGAGAGGTGTCTGGAGCAGTATCCTCGGCGCTGGGACTCCTTAGAGCAGCCCTCTCTGGAGCACAGTCTCCTCCACTGCTTCCCATTGAACTTCTTACGAATGCCTGTCGGTGTGCACACCACATCTCCTTTCTTGTACTTTTGCTGGGCAGCTGTCAGAGGGGTGCGGGAACGTGAGGAGGAGGACGAACCAGATCCAGATCCACTGCCACCACCTGCTCCTCCACTAGAAGAACCTCCTCCCGAGGCCTTTTCTACTCTAGAGGAGGGCACAGTAGAAGAGGAGATGGGAGGGAGAGGAGGAACTAATAGGACAGGTGAAGGAGGGGGGTGGGGGTTCAAGGCCAGGTGAGCGGGGGAGATTCCAATGCCCCGCACCACAGACAGGTGGGGATTGAGGTAGCCAGGTGGGGGCTTAGAGATGATGTGGCGATGTTGGGGAACTGCCATTTGCTTGGCCCCAGGTATGACTGCCCCCATGGGGACCAGGTTAAAGCCGGACACCTCCATGTCTTCGTCGGGGGTGAGTGGCATGTATGGGTGGTGTTGCTGCTGCTGCTTTGCACTGTTCTCCCTTTCTCGATCTCTTTCACTCTCTCTTTCCTGTTTTCTCTGGATGTCCCTCTCCAAGTCTTTCTCCATTTCCCACTCTCGACCAGGAGCGAGACTGAGGACTGATGCTGGAGTTACTGGAGAGGTAATGGTGTGGCCTGATGTGGAGGAAACAGGCACCATACCTGAGTAGGGCAAACCTCTCCCCAACACTGACCCCACTCCTGGGGCCATTCCCCGGCTCAAATGACAAACCTCCTGCTCCATGTCCATCTCCTCCCTCTCTTCCCGCTCCATTGCCTTGTCTCTGACCCCTTCTTCTCCCTCTCGCCCTCCTCCAGATGGCAAATCAAGGTCCCATGGAGGAACCAGAAGCCGGAGTGTTTGTCGGGGGACCCATACTGCTTGGGGAGCACCAGCTGCTCCTTCCTCATCCACAGATTGAGGCCTTTCCTCAGACAGCAGGACACGGTAGCGATTGGCCACAGCAGGGTGTGTGTCTATCTCGGTCACCACACCTTCTCTGTACCACTGCCACTGGCCCTTGCTGCCCTCCTCACTGCTAAATGGTACACAGACACGGGTTCCAATAGCTATTGGATGGACCCCAGGTGGGGGGGCATCTAGGATAATGTCTACCACGCCTGGGGGGCTGTCATGTCGATATGGATAACGACGCAGTGTCTTCTCCCCATTCAGTTGCACCTCCAGGCTTCCATATTCCCCACTGACCTTACGGACAACCCCAGCCCGGAAGAGCAAGTCTGAACTCCCCCCTTCATCTCTCCATTTCCCTCCTCCTTCCTCATGACCTCTCCTGAACTGGCGAGCAAGGACACGCTGATTCTTCAGCCCTTTGGCCAGGGCGTCGGAGAGCGCGTCACGAAGGCTGGATGGTGCGTGTGCAGGCATCTGCGCAATAGCATGTGTGTCGCCCACCACCTCCAGGTCAGCTGAATGCTCGCTGGCGGTGTCTGTGGAAGAGCAGCGTGGCAGGGGGCTGGGTGACACCCGCTCTGTATCTCTCACCCCTTCGCCTCCTCCAGGCCTTTCCCTCTCCCCTCCCAGCAACAGGGTAGGGGGTCCTGGGGAGCTGTCCTGAGGCCCCTCCCTAACCGTGTTCCTGCTGTGGAAGTCATCCATCAGGCTCCTACTGCGACTGCTGCCATCAGGGTACAAGATGCTGATGTTGCTTCCTGAACTCGTAGGCCCATGATTGAGGACCCTACCACTTGGAGGAAGAGAGGGGGGCATGCTGGAGGCAGGGTTGTTATGGTTACTGGTGGTAGTAGATGAGCAGTGTTCCGAAGTGTATTTCTTCTTGGGAACACGAGCCTTGAAGGTGGCTGTTTTACGGCTGGGGGGCGGCATTTGGAGGTTGTTTGGGCTCGGGGTACTTC